CCATCCTCGTGTTACTGTCACACCTCCAATCCCTCCTCTTGTCACCTCTGCATCCCCCACAATAGGAGTATTAAACGCTCAACAATCTAGATCAAATATACTTTGCCCAATAAAGTATTTCTTTACATTTTTGCCCAAACACTTACTGTCATCATGTTTCCAAACAGCTCCAACTCTCTCAGCTCAGCTTCCCTGAACTTCTTGTCTAGTACAAGATTACAAGGGAGAGCGCAGTTTCCAGCAGCCGACCATCTACTAGCTTGGAGAAGGAGGATGGAGGAGTGGGGAGCAGAGAGCATTGCCTTGTTCTGCCTGTGTGTTTGTGGAGACACACAGCTTACTAGTACACACAAGGGTGGCTCCATAGGACCCTGCAAGGGAAAGGAGCCACCCTAAAAAAAGTACAGCAGCTGATTCTGCAGGAAACTAAAACTTTTAAACATCTATTGTAAGTTATTTCATCAGCATTTGAAATAGCTCAAAAAGCCTTTGACTTTTAAATCCTTTAATGTCAATTGTTTATGATATACTGTGCAATGCTTCAGCACAGCCTTTCTTAACCAGGGTGCCTTCAAATTTTTTCTAAAGGAGAGACTCTGATGTGAAAGGGCAGCACTCTGATGTGAAAGGGGGACTCTGATGTGAAGAGGGGCTTCTGATGTGAAAGGGCGGCACTCTGATGTGAAAGGGGGGACTCTGATGTGAAGAGGGGCTTCTGATGTGAAAGGGCGGCACTCTGATGTGAAAGGGGGGACTCTGATGTGAAGAGGGGCTTCTGATGTGAAAGGGCGGCACTCTGATGTGAAAGGGGGGACTCTGATGTGAAGAGGGGCTTCTGATGTGAAAGGGTGGCACTCTAATGTGAAGGGCACTCCTAATGTGAAAGGGTGGCTTCTGATGTGAAAGAGCAGCACTCTGATGTGAAAGGGGGCTCCTAATGTGAAAGGGAGGGTCTTATGTTTGTTGTCTTTCGTTTGTTTTGTTTCTTTGCCTGGGGTTCCCACTTAAAATCCATACCAGACCCCTGTCTAGGATAAGGGTTTGGTAGTGATTTGAGTGTGGGAGAACCACATATTTTTACATTTTAGACTGGGGTACCTTGAGATTTTTCAGTTAAGGTTTACATCTTCTTTTAACTCCAGTATTTTTGTGCCCCCCCCTCCCTGAAGACCACCTCTTTCCCCAACACTTTTATTTGTAATCACAGATTTATATTCCTCTTTTCCTGCAGTCTTCAAGGTGGTCTGATGACATCACAGGTCCTTCCCCTTCTGTGGTGAACCTGTACAGCATGGTGAACAATAGATTGTCAGTGAACCCTTGTGTCAAAGGACACAAAATGAATAAACTTTAAATGTACAAATTATATATATATATATATATATATATCTATATATATATATATATAAACAGAGCTGGGTCTGCGCATGCTCAAGTGCATAGTGCGCAGCAGTCGCCAACTGTTTGCAGAGTCAATAGCTACAGATCTCCAATCTTCGTGTGACCTTCAGATTGGCACAGCAACAGTGCGTAGAGAGCTTCATGGAATGGGTTTCCATGGCCGAGCAGCTGCATCCAAGCCTTACATCACCAAGTGCAATGCAAAGCGTCGGATGCTGTGGTGTAAAGCGCGCCGCCACTGGAATCTAGAGAAGTGGAGACGTGTTCTCTGAAGTGACGAATCACGCTTCTCTGTCTGGCAATTCAATGGACGTGTCTGGGATGGATGTGTCTGGTAGGCCACGTAAAATGACAGAGCAGGGTCAGCGCTGGATGTGTCTGGGTTTGGCGGTTGCCAGGAGAACGGTACTTGCCTGACTGCATTGTGCCAAGAGTAAAGTTTGGTGGAGGGGGGATTATGGTGTGGGGTGGTTTTTCAGGGGTTAGGCTTGGCCCCTTAGTTCCAGTGAAGGGAACTCTTAAGGCATCAGCATACCAAGACATTTTGGACAATTTATATCTAATCAATCAAAATCCAGTGCTTCACACTTCACATATTTTCAATGTGATTCTTGATAATGTAGCTGTGATCTTGGTTTCAAGCACTTTAGTACCGCACATTTTTTCACATACGACCATATTGAAGTGGGTAAAGTGTATTTCCACTTTTGCAGCCAAAAAGGGAGAACACCTATTCATGGTGTATGCTGTTACATGGACTTAAATAAAGTTTGGATTTATACTGAGGCAATGTTGAGTGCGGCTCTTCTTGGATGAAACCTATTTTATATTAGTTATATGTTTCCATTCGCATAGCATAACTTCGTTGTTTTTTTTTTGTTTTTTTTAAATTGCTGCTTACACAAAACATCCTCTATTTTGAAGGGAAAGTTGTTCTCTGTATGGAATTTTGTCTGGAATACAAGGTGGGCTGGGCAGGTTAATGTTAACATAATTAACCCTGTCTGTACTGAGCTAATTATCCATTGTAAACTAGATAGAACACTGTCTGTCCTAACAAAGAGTCAGAGATCTAGAAGCGTTGTATGTTATAGAGGGGGAGCTCAGTCTGTCTTTAGTCTATCTATTGGGACAGACAGAGATTGCTATCACTTTGAAATTATTATTATTATACAGGACTTATATAGCACCAACAGTTTGTGCAGCACCCCCGCCGGCCGAAGCTCCACCTCCTGTCGACCGAAGCCCCGTCCCCAAGCTAGTGTAAAGGAGGAAGGGAGGAGACAGGGAGGAGCCTCCCTGTCCCTCACTTGCTACGCACCGCTGAGGCTCTGTGACAGGTTACACAGCGGGGAGGATTTCCCTGCTGTGTAACCAATTAGATGCCGATCTGAATGGAGAAAAAGCTGTCAGCTTCAGACATAAAGCTAACAGCTTTTTCCTCGATAATTGTAGGTGAGGCTCTGCCTCCCCTGCCTCCCCTGACCGCACGTCCCTGCATTTAAGTGACAAGTGTGCACTCCTCCACATTGACCGATCTACGCTATCAGACACTACTCTTTCTGCCGCCATATCCTTTTAGTTTCCTGCCTCTTCCAGGTCTCCAGTTGTTCTATTTGATGATTGGGCTCAGGGCCATCTCTATAATGAATCAGCTTGAGGTGACATCTAGGGCTGCAACTAATGATTATTTTCATAATCGATTAGATGGCTGATTCCTTTTTCGATTAATAGAATAAAAAAATGAAATAAATATCATCCTTAAAGTGACATTAAAGTCACAAATTCCCCCCGGCTGCTTTAACCACCTGCCGCCCGGCCGTTGTAATTAAATGGCCGGACGGCGAGTTCGTGAATGCGGGTGGGCACATTTAAACATCCTTTCCATCCCGCTCGTGCCCGATCAGTATACGATCTCCCTTTGATTTCTTCTCATTTTATAATTTTAAAATAAAAATTGTATTGTGAGCACATGGCGCTTGAATAGCTGTATCTAGGGAATGTCAGCGCCCAGTGACAAGATTGGGCAGACGGCAGCTGAATGTAAATACAGCAGGTAGTGGGCTGGTTCCATTTCAAAGTGCAATAGCCAATAGCAGGCTGGCTATTGCAGCTGCCCACTGCTTGCTGGGCCCTCCTCCCAGTGTGGAGGGGAGAGCTAGCAGATCCAACCAACTAATCGATAATGGGAACAGTTGACAACTATTCTCATAATCGATTATTATTGATTAACTGACTGGTTGGTTGCAGCCCTAATAACATCTTTTAGAGTCACGTGGGGGTGCGGCAGGCAGAGTGGTATGGCTGCTCTTCTGCACAATATTTGCAGTGTTCTTGCCACCCCCTTTCCAGCCAGAGCGTCCTAGGTTGCTATGAGCCGGGTGGGGAGATGTGTAAGGGCCATACGCATCTCCCCGCTCAGTTCTTAACAACTTGGGACACTCTGGCTGGCATCCCGCCTAGCTCAGAGACATCACTGGTTGCCAGGAGCTGGGTGGGACTTCAGCCAGAGCGACTGGGTCACTCCTAGCCGGCAGTTTCACTCTCCACCAGCATCCCCCGCCCACCCCCTGGCAAAAAGGGTCGGGACACCCCTGATTGGGCTGCCTCTTAAGACATAGCTCCAGCGCATGTGCACAGGAGTTACATCATTCTCACCATACTGCAGATGCTGGGAAGTTGCCAGAGGAGTACATGCGCTCTTCCTCTTTGTCACAGCAGCACATGAGCTCAGCATTGTGTGATAGAGCACGCTTTGCACATGTGCAGGTTAGGAATGAGACAGGGGGCGCCTATTCCTGCGCTCATGGGGCTGTGTGTCCATCGGCTGGAGGATCTCCGTTTTTACAGACAGGCTGGAGAGTCCGCACACAGCCTACAGCCAGTATGCCTTGGAAATAAGGATCTCTTTTTAAAAGCTGAGGACTGCTTATGAATATGCTACAGACCAGGGGTAGGCAACCTTGGCTCTCCAGCATTTGTGGAACTACAAGTCCCATGAGGCATTGCAAAACCGACAGCCACAGGTGAGACCCCCAGAGGCAAAGGCATGATGGAATTTGTAGTTTTATCACAGCTGGAGTGCTGAGGTTGCCTAACCCTGCTAGAGATACTGGAATGCATAGGTTCTTTTTCGGTAAAGGTGAGCTAACACTTTTTTTAAAAAAATCATGTAACTTTGAAGAGGGGATATGTATTGTAAAGAGGAATAGAATGACTGTAAAGTGTCTTATGATCAGTGCCTACACATCTCACAGCCACTCAGTGCAGTGCACTGGCTGACGACGCCTGCGTTTCCGGCGGAAGTAAACAGATTGTCTGGCCGGCGTTTCTATGACACTCCAGAGTCGCTCTGGCCTGTCTTCTCTGTGCTCTGGAATACCGGAAGCGAGTGTGAGACGGAATGGCGGAGAGTCCGGCGGCTGAAGCGATCATTCTCCCGGGGGCAGTAGGGGGAGGTGTGGTGTCCCATCTGAGCGGTCTGCAGCCTCCCGGGACTTCTCACCTGGCCGCTTCTTCTATGTGGGATCCGACCGCCAGTGGCGACTGGGACAACGAGAGGGCGTCCGCTCAGTGTGTGCTGCGGATCAAACGGTAAGAGGAGAGTATCGGAGAGCGGCTGAGCCCGGGCTACCTGACATCAATTCCAGGGACCGTCCGAGGGCTCAGGAGCTTGTCCCTGGAAGTGGCCCGCACTCGGGTTGTCAGGGGAAGTGCTAAGCAGATGACACATGCGGAGTGATGTGTGCACATAGGCGGCCATATCAGGCAGATCAGAGTCATTGGTATGACGTGTTTCTGCATTCCATCTACAGCTGTCACCCTAAGGGACAACTCCAGACTGGGCAGTGATATCTCATGATGGAGGACCCCTGCATGTCATCTTTTACAAAAATTTTATTAACGTACCATTTCTTGCCTTGATGAACCAGGGCCCTTCATCTAATGTGAGCACAGGGGGCGGGTCCATGACAGCCTGGGTTTACAGGAAGTGGGCTCAGTGTCATTACCTCCAGGGGGCAGGTCTGTAAAAGCCTGGGTTTACAGGAAGTGGGTGGAATGTTATCATCCCCCCCATGGACCGGGTCCATGATAGCCTGGGTTTACAGGAAGTGGGTTTAATGTCACCACCCCCTGGAGTTGGGTCTGTTGCCACCCCCAGGAGATGGGTCTGTGACAACCTGAGTTTACAGGAAGTGGGCTCAGTGTCATTACCTCTAGGGAGTGTTTGTGACAGCCTGGGTTTACAGAAAGTGGGTTCAGTGTCACCACCCCCAGGAGATGGGTCTGTGACAACCTGAGTTTACAGGAAGTGGGCTCAGTGTCACCACCCCCAGGAGATGGGTCTGTGACAACCTGAGTTTACAGGAAGTGGGCTCAGTGTCACCACCCCCAGGAGATGGGTCTGTGACAACCTGAGTTTACAGGAAGTGGGCTCAGTGTCACCACCCCCAGGAGATGGGTCTGTGACAACCTGAGTTTACAGGAAGTGGGCTCAGTGTCACCACCCCCAGGAGATGGGTCTGTGACAACCTGAGTTTACAGGAAGTGGGCTCAGTGTCACCACCCCCAGGAGATGGGTCAGTGTCCACCTGGGTTTACAGGAAGTGGGTTCAATGTCACCGCCCCCAAGAGATGGGTCTGTGACAGCCTGGGTTTACAGGAAGTGGGCTCAGTGTCACCACCCCCAGGAGATGGGTCTGTGTCCGCCTGGGTTTACAGGAAGTGGGGTCAGTGTCACCACCCCCAGGAGATGGGTCTGTGTCCGCCTGGGTTTACAGGAAGTGGGCTCAGTGTCACCACCCCCAGGAGGGCGGTTCCAGGACAGCCTGGATTTTCAAGAAGTGCGTTGAATCACACAGTGGTGAGGGGGACAGCCCTGGAGAGGAGGCGAGTATTACAGCCAGAGCTGCTATTTATATTTTGTACACTGCTGGGCCACAGTACGTTGGTTGATGTAGTAACAATGCATTGGAGTGTCTTTAAAAATGAATGGCACTGCGCTGCTCCGTAGAAGTGTGAATCGGCCCTTAGAGAATTCAGATAACGAATAGCACGCAGTCCTGAAATTCTGAATGTTTTCGGCTTTTGTGAATTTAGTGACAGAGCCGTCTTTGCTTGTGATTAGGAGCCGTGGACAAGCTGCCGATCATGTGATCACTATAACAGCCATTGCATAATCAGGAGCCTGGCCACCAATTGTCGGCATTACTACCAGTTAACTGATACCAACAACATTGCAGGACAATAACACGGAAAGTCAAGTCTCTGAAATTCTTACTTGCGGCGTTTTGCCTTTTCATTAATCATTTTTTGGATTAATTTCCGAGGTGCCTTTGAACTTGCTAGAAAGTCTGACTGCCCCTGTAGAGTTCCTTCCAGCCCCTCCCTCCACATCATAGCCTGCCAAGGAAGGAGAAAAGGGGAACACTATAGATCAGGGGTAGACAACCTTGGTAGGTCAGCCTTTGTGGAAGTACAAGACTCTGACAGCCACAGGTATGACTCCCAGGGGCAGAGACATTATGGGATTAGTAGTTTGACCACAACTGGACTGCCTACCCCGTTAAAGAGTCACATTAGTGACAGCTCTGAGTATTTGGGGTCTTTTCCAGGTAAATAACAAACATAAAATATGTTAACGCACATATACTCCTATGGGAAGGATCCTGTTCTGGTGACAGGTTCTCTTTCCCCTCTTCCCTGTGTATTGAGTTTAGGACTGGGATAATATCCGGCCACAGAGCCATGTGCAGGGTTCTCTTCTGATCTGCGGCCACATATAAAATTCAAATTGATGAGCAGTCAGTCATTCTAGAAACCACAATGAGAGGCTAAGCGCGGGCTCTTTATTTCCTCATTCCTCAGCAGAGACGGAGCGGATCTTCATCCCGAGACGTAGAAATCTTTTCATGTTGTAATATTTTCTGGTATAATTTGTCATATTTGTCTCATAGACCAGGAAATGGAGCTCGGTATTCTTCAATGTCATCGCTTTCACTTTCACTTCCCGTGTTCTGGGTGTGGAATCATTTTGCTCTAACCATCTTTGTTTTGTTCTCTCTCCTTTTATTCAGGGATATCATGTCTATATACAAAGAGCCTCCCCCGGGGATGTTTGTTGTGCCTGACCCACACGACATGACAAAGGTACGGCTTGTGATTACCGTGTGTGCAGCCAGTATGTAGAAAGGTACTATTGGTATATGTTCCCTGCTGGTTCTTGGCACAATCAGTTTGTGTCTGCCCATGATGCATTTTTCCAGGTTGATGCTGGCCACAGACGGGTCAGATTCCTCCTTTTACCTGCAGGTCAAGTAAGAGAAGTCAGTCAATTCCCCCATTCATGCTAAACAATGTGGGCGGAGGAAATTTCCACTGCTGGCTTATTGCATGCAGACAGCCACAGCACCCATGGCTGACTAAATGCACAAAAAGGGATAGGATGCATTCACAGTTTGGCCCATATCTCCCCCCACCTCCCCCCCAGGCTCAGTTGATAAGAACTATTATAATTTTCATCCCCGACCCCTGATCTAACCCTCCCACGCTAAGATCCGTACTTACCGAGATTCAACTGGCATGGTTCCGCTATTGTTTACATTCAGCACCGCACTCCCTCTGCTGGCCGCACCTGCACATTACAGCCCCATAGACTGCTATGGGGTCGTCCTCCAGTTGGGAGATGGATATGGCCAGAAGAGGGAGACTTGCAGCGCTGGAGGTCAACAAACAGCTGATCAATACGAATGAATGTATGTCATTCTTCAACAAAGCAGCCACATACTGGCACATTGGGAATCACTTTTCAATGGCCAATAGGTTTTGGTGCCTTATAGCCAAACTTTACATAGAAAAGTAGTAGTACAGTAGTAGTAGAAAAGTAGTAGAAAAGCAGAAATAGTACAGACAGTGGCTCAGACTGTAAACACAGACATTCTGGAGATCGGCCGGTGCTGGAAGGGAGACGTAGCAGCAGCTGCACCAGCTAGCCGGACATAAGTTCTGCTGTCATGCTACAGATCATCAAAAGTGCAGTCTGGCAATGAAATGGTGGTAGGAAAAAAATATATGTATATATTATATACACCTGCACTCTAGAAAAATGACTTTTTAGAAATGTGTGCAGGGAGCTGCCCTCATCATGGCTGGGAGGGGGAGAAGCAGGAGAGAAGTCGGCATAACTAAAGCTGGCCATACACTGTTCGAATGTATGTGAATCGGACACAATTCTCTAAAGTGGGTGACCTGCCAGGTCAGCAGAAGTCAGTTACTGAATGGCTACAGTGCAGCTTTAAGAGTGATGGAATATAACCTGGGTAGGCAGCCTCGGCACCCCAGCTGTGATGGAACTACTGATACCATCATGCCTCTGGTCTGTGGCTGCCAGTTTTGTAGCTCTACAGGGTGCCATGGTTGCATACCCCTGGTATACTGTATATACCCGTATTTAATACTCTAGGTAAACAGGTGAATTGAGATATTTTTGCCCAGTTACAACAAAAGGCATCCAGCTCTCTGGAAATCCATTTCATATTAGTTTGTACTGTGCTGGCTACAGAGGGCAGAGGTTCCTGTTGTTGTAAAGCAGTGTAGGCTATTGAGATGTCTGGTGAATTGTGGATTATATGTACATTATCACATAGCAATCTTCTTGTTTTGCAGATCCATGCCCTTATAACAGGTCCATTTGATACACCTTATGAGGGAGGCTTCTTCTTATTCTTATTCCGATGCCCTCCAGATTACCCCATTCATCCACCGCGAGTAAAACTGATGACAACCGGCAACAACACTGTGAGGTTTAACCCAAACTTCTACCGAAATGGCAAAGTCTGCCTTAGTATCCTTGGGTAAGCATGTTCCTGCCATTTACTATACTGTAGCTTTATAGCTGATCTCCAGGCATAGCTATATTCACTATTCCAATAGAAATGGAAGACCTAGGTGGACAGAGACCAGAGAATGCTGGTGGCCGCTCTAGGCCACCCCAGGCAAGGCTGACATGATTACATCAGCCCCACCTGTGCAGGAGTACCAGGGGGTGCATAGGGCACTGGTTACATTGTGCTTGGAGAGGGTACAGCGGTGACCAGTCTTCACAACTGGATATTTATGCCCATGGGCAGAATCAAGTTGAAGATTGGCGGACACAACTGCTGTAGATTGAAAAACAACTACTAAACTATGACTACGAGGTGTTCTATGCAATGCCGCATTCATGGATTGTGCCCGGAGTTCAGCTTTGAATTACTTCACATTGACTATATATAGAACGATAGCCTGCACATTGTGAATGGAAGTGCTACACTACATGGTGGTGCTTTCATCTTGTACTACTGTACGATTTAACCACTGCTTGTCAGATGCCCCATTTGCTACACTATGAAATTTAAGTGTTGCAGATGATTGGCAGCAATGGTGTTGGATCATTCAGTCGAATGAGATACATATCACCCATCTTGATTAGTTCTCATGTTGCTGCTTAGATGTCCATTCTCTGCCAGGAGAAACCATATCAATTGCAATGGTGTAAGAACCACAGGCTTTGGTAGTCCTATACTGCACAATTATAAATCGTAAACCTCCTTAAAACCCTCTGCCTGAAGGCTCAGTACACGTGCTTGGTAACACGTTTGATGTGTTGGTGCGTGGCAGTGCCATTTACTTTGAATAGCACCCAGTGCATTTCTACAGTGAACATGTAGTGCCGCACATCGAAATGCAGTGACGGACTAAGAAATGCTGTAGGTGCAATTTTTTTTAAAGCATTGCGGTGTGGTGCATTGGACACCCCATGCAACATTCGGGTACCCCATTCAAGATGCATGCTTTAAAGGGTAAGTTCACTAAGCAATTTGGGAAAATGGAATTATCCCCTCAAATATGGCCCTCCGCTACCTTTGCGGGACACTCCTTCCCCCTCCGCCGGTACAGGTGTACTATCCATAACCCATACTGCCGCCCTGTGCTATGGATTTTGAATTTCGCTCACAAATTGTGAGCACTTATTGGTCAGCATG